CCCGCGGGGTTTTGCAGGGTTCAGCGGCAGCCGCTCCGACTCCCGGCGAGTGATCTTCCCAAAATACCACCTGCAAGGACAAGGCACAGCTCGGTGCCTGCCACTCACCCACCCCCTCCAGTGCCTCTCTGAGCAGTGGGCTCAGCCCTATCTCCCCCCACACCCCTCCCAGCCGCAGGTTTTGGGGACCACGGGCTGCATATCTGGGCTCAGGCTTAGCCCAAGGAGCAACCCAGCACCACAGGCCACAAAACGCCTTTGCTCCAAAAGCCTCCCCAAATGCAGGGCTCTGGGGACCTCTGAACTCCCCCCAGCTCTTGCTAGAGGGGATGCTGTGCCACTGGTTGGGGACGGGCTGCAGGGATGTCACTGGCACCTCCTGCTTTGGGACTCGAGGCCAGCTTTGCCTGATGCACACAGGTGGAGGTGCCAGCATCCTCACACAGGGATGTGTGTCCATCAGGAAAAGGGAAATCCAGACCAAAAGCATCAGGCCCACCACGATCCCCCTGCACCATCGCTCATCCCTCCACTGCACCCCCATATTTTACAAGCCCTAAAGTAGAGCTGGAAAACATCTGAGGGGTTTGCAGATTCCCAGAGGAAAAGCCTGGAGGCCTGGAAGGGGAGGCAGGGGAGGGAGGAGAGCTCAGGGTGCAAACCCTTGTCTTTAAACTGTCTGAAAGATGCAATTACTCTTCAGCCTGGATGGAGTCTGAGGGAGCGACATAGTTACTGGGGATGTAGCCCGTCTGTCCCGTGGTGAGGGAATGAGCCAGCCACCAGTCACCTTCCCTGCAAGAGAACCAAAACACACTCAGTGTTAAGCCAGGAGTCCCTCAGACTGCCCCAATCCCACCTGCAGGCACCCAGGGGGTGAGCCAGAAGAGCCCTGCTGGGAAGGGGTGCAGCCCCTGCAGCCCCCAGCCCCACAGCTGGGGAATGCTCAGCCAGGAATGCTCCTGCTGCCAGCCCCTGCCCATGGCTCTGCCTGGGCAAACTGTACTGGGGCCACCCATCCACATGTGAGATGCTTTAAACTTCCATTGGGCAGGGCAGCCAGCGAGCCAAAATGCCTTCAGAGCCACCTGAATGTGGACAGGGTCTGGCTGGAGCCTGAGGGGCCCTGGGGATCCCAGGCAGTGGGGAGCAAGAGGCAAGGGGGAGGGAGGGGAAACGAGGAAAAGTGACAGAGTCACGGAAGTGATTAAAAAAAAGCACCAGGAAAAGCCAAGAGAGATTGTTAAATGCAGGCTGCAAAAAAGCAACAGGACAAGGCTGAGGTTTGAGCAGGGGGAGTGAGACCTACCCTGCAGTGATACCCAGCCTGGATGCAGGAGGCTCCATCCAGCCCACAGCTGGGGAATGCTCAGCCAGGAATGCTCCTGCTGCCAGCCCCTGCCCATGGCTCTGCCTGGGCAAACTGTACTGGGGCCACCCATCCACATGTGAGATGCTTTAAACTTCCATTGGGCAGGGCAGCCAGCGAGCCAAAATGCCTTCAGAGCCACCTGAATGTGGACAGGGTCTGGCTGGAGCCTGAGGGGCCCTGGGGATCCCAGGCAGTGGGGAGCAAGAGGCAAGGGGGAGGGAGGGGAAACGAGGAAAAGTGACAGAGTCACGGAAGTGATTAAGAAAAAGCACCAGGAAAAGCCAAGAGAGATTGTTAAATGCAGGCTGCAAAAAAGCAACAGGACAAGGCTGAGGTTTGAGCAGGGGGAGTGAGACCTACCCTGCAGTGATACCCAGCCTGGATGCAGGAGGCTCCATCCAGCTCGGGTGCCCACCCTGCAGCCCTGAGATGTCACCCTGTGTGGCCACAGCCCCTGACCACGAGCTTCCCCACAGCCCCAGCAAGGGCTGTGCCTGCATGGCTGCTCACCCAGAGCCACACAGCCCCACGGTGCTGGCCCCATGGCCCCAGCACAGCTCTGCCCTGCAGGAGCCCCTGTGCCATCCCCAGAAACCCAGGGCTGACCCACTGTGCCTCCAACCTGGGCACACTGGCTCCAAACAGGTTCCCAGGGGCTGGGAGGGCACAGGAGCCTTCTCACTGTCCTCCCACCCACAGGCTCCTGCACAGGATGGGGTAAAAAAGGACAATAAATAGAGAAGAACAACAGGACAGCAGGAGGTGGCTTCCCCTCCCCTGCAGACAGCAGGGCTTCCTCCCACCACCTGAATCTGCTGGCCCATCAAAGACAGAGTCACCTAATTTATCCTGATCACGAGGGAGACAAGGCTTTGGGAAAACTGCAGATCCGTGGGAACAGCACTGCCAGGATGCAAGAACTTGGCAAGAGGACCTCCACAAACACTCTGCAGAAAAACCTTAATAACCTCCATCACCCCTGCAAGACCCATCAAGGCCAGGGACAGAGGGGACCCCCTGGGCATCTCCTCAACTGCACTCTGCTGCTGGCCCACAGCCCACCCCCAGCCTTGCAGCAGCCCCAGATGGCATTTTATCTTCTCCCAGCCCCAGGGCACCTCGTAGCAGGTAGCCTGGGATCCTGCTGCTGCCCCAGTCACATTTACTGGGGTGGCTCTGAGTGAGACAGGAGGCTGGTTGTGCTCCTTTCCCACAGGATGAGAGAAAACATCTGCTTAAGCAATGCCCAGCTTTTGACTTGTGGCTTTATTCCAGCTGGGGCTGCAAGCTGGGAATTCAGCAAAAACAAACTATTCCAAAAATGTCTCAGTAGGGAAAAAAAAAAATAATCATCATCATCACCACCAAAACAAAGCATTTCAACAATTCCCTGCACGATCTTACCAAAAATATCCCACCACATCCCTGCTGGCTGCCAGCTGGCTGGGAGGAGACCTCCTCCCACTGGGATGGTACTACGAGAGCCTTTTCACATTGGGGTGGATGGATTTGGCCCAACTGGAAGGGTGAGGGCCATCCTGGACAGTCTGGGCTTTGCTGGGATGCAGGAGCAGGGAGGGGAGGGATGTGGAGGCTCCTCCTCTCCCCCTGCACGACCCCAGATCCTAGGAGAGATTTACACCCCCCCAGGCACTGCATGAATGGCACAGCTTCCCCCCCCCCCTCTTCCCCTGTGGACATCCCACCCAGGCAGCTGCAGCAGACACTGGGAAGGTCAGCAGCCTGATCCTTCACCCTCCACTGATGGGCTGCAGCACCAAAAAATGGCCCTTTTGTTCCCTAGGGTGCTGAAGAGCCCATCACACCCTGACCCTGCCCTCTGACCAAGCCTTTGACAAACAACAGCTGAAGAGGGAAAGAAGTATGAAACTCCAGAGGTGACTTAAGGCATTAAGGAAAATAAAACACCCTCATATTTGGCCCCAACACAGACCCCCAGTGGGCAGAGCTCACTTTGGACAGCCCAAACCAGAACTCAAGTCTGGCGCTTGCATGCTGCTGAGGCTGTGAAAGCAAGAAGCACTTTACTCCCCCAACTCAGGCTTTTCCTGCAGCATCGAAGCCTTGCCCATCCTGGACTTCAAGAATTAAATGAATCGCCATTGATAAACAATGTTGGAACCAGGAGAACCAGGATAATTGCAAAAAAAAGAGCCAGGAGGAGAGCAGACATCCAACAGAACCAGGACTGCAGAGGTGGGCCAGGCACCGACAGGGCAAGTGGGGCAGGTTCAGAGCTCCTGGGTGCAGACACAGCTCTGGATGGGGCAGTTCCCCAGCACGGGAAGGGGCTCCTTGCTCTGCCTTGGTCACTCAGGGAGGACAAACCCAACTGACCACAAAACCATTGGGCAACCATTTCCTCCCAGCCCTGCCCCACCTGATCTCCCCCTAAGAGGGGCAGCAGATGGGCTTTTGTCATTTAAGACTGTTCAGAATAATAACAGTAATAACCTGCAATACACACCTGACGTCCACTTTTCTCCTAAAGGACAGCGTGGCACAAAGGAGAGAAAAAAAGAGAGAAGCTGAGACCAGAGACACAGCACAAACCAAGGGGAAAGCACCCGTGAAGCTGAGATGTGTCCAGGCAAACCAGAGGGAGCTGACGGGGACAGGGGACTGGCAGGGATGTGGCTCTGTGTTGAGGGGCACCAACTGGCCACCAAGCCAGAAGGACATGGCTTGATGTCAAGACCAGAAACAGGTCCAGAAGGATGTGGGAGCAAGCAAATGATCACCTGCAGTGCTGGTGAGGCAGTGATCACCCAGAGCATCCCTCCCTGAGCACCCGTCCCCAGGGAGAGCTGGGCCTGGGGGCTCCGTGGGAAGGACAAAGGCGGCAGCTCCCCCTCCCCCGTGGGGGCCCGGCTGCAGGGACACTCACGTGTTGTTGACGGATTGCAGGCGCTCTCCTTTCTTGAAGGACAAGTCCGTTTCAGTCCGGGACTCGTAGTCATAGAGGGCCACGAAGGTGGTGACTCCCCCTGCAAGAGGGAGCGCTCAGGAGGGGCGAAGCCACCAGCACGGGCCTGCCAGACCCTCTCCAGGGACCCTCCTCTCCCACCACCTTCCCAATAAG